ATTTACAGATATCATGCGTAATGTCTTATTCAACAAATTTATCTTCAAATTGAAAGTGAAAGAAGAGATGTTTAGCGATGAACAGCGCGTTAAGTCAACAGTGGTCAAAGCAGAGAAGCTGAACTTCCAATCAGAGATCCGGTTTCTGTTGGATTTGATAGACAAGAACAATGGGCAGGAATCCAGTACTCTGCCTCCTAAGACAGATAATGCAACTCCAACTTCAGTGTATAATAATGCTGGATTTGGGAGTAGAACCATAGAACCGATGAATCCTGTTGCAAATTATGGTGGCAGCAATAGCAGTATCAGCAGAGAAAGTGGACTGCAGGGAAATCAGCAAGGTCAATACGGAAATCAGTTTACTGGCTCGCAGTTTGCTCCACCTGGTTCTACAGGCATGTATATGAGCTGTAATAGTTGTGGTGGAACAGGCCATAGTGCTTCAAACTGTCCAAGCATCATGAGTGGTCAGGGCCAGGCATATGGAGGTGGCTTTGGCAATAGGGTAACTTCAGGAATGAGCAGTGATGGTGCTTCCGGTGAGTGCTATAAATGCCATCAGTTTGGACATTGGGCAAGAGATTGCCCAGGTGTAAGCAATGCACCCCCTGCCACTAACATGACTCCTGCTTCAGGAATGAGCAGTGGTGGTGCTTCCGTTGAGTGTTATAAATGCCATCAGCTTGGACATTGGGCAAGAGATTGCCCAGGTGTAAGCAGTGCACCCGCTGCCAATAACATGACTCCTGGAAGATATGGGAATCCTCCAAGGCAACGTGTTGGTGGATTTTGATCAACCTTTGAGCATATAAAGTTGTCCTGTGCGGGTAGATGCCTTCTCTACGGTAGGTAGTACCTTCATGGATCATCTTCTGCTTTAGAGAAAGCTTCTTGACGCTTGCATTTTGCCTTCTTTCTATACAGTGACTACTTGGGGCTGAAATTTTGCGCTAGTGTTCCTGGATGCCTGGGCTTAAAGTTGTCTTCAGTTTTGAGGAGCGACATGTTTTTGCTCTTCCCTGTAAATTATTTCCTGTTTAAGTTTTTCTTGATCTCTTTTATTGTTCTTTTTAGGTAATCCGTCTTTGTGGTTTCGTCCTTTTTAGAGCAAAATTCCTGTGTTATAGTGTAGACTGCTATATTAATGTTACTTATTTATCTTTTTTCATCTGTGATGTGTCATCTGTATTCATGTCCTTGAATACCTAATAATTGGGTAATAAGCTTCATATTCGATAGCACTCAAAAGTGATTCTGGTATTGACCAATTATTATGACAGTGAGAAGACCAAGATGAACAGTGTATTTCTTTTAACGTATAATTCTGATTTTATTAAATCCTCAAGGGTCTCACATTCCTATTATCCGACAAAATAGTTTCTGTTGAGTAGCAGGTGGTAAACTTGCTCTGTGGCTGCATCTGAAAGGTGCAAAAGGTCGATAGACCAAAGAATTTGTGTATTAACTTCTAGTACAAAAATTATTATTTTTCTTTGTGACATAAAAAGGGTTAAGGAACTGTGCCAGTGCTGGAGTTTTGATTGCCGTAATGCAAAAAGGGACTGAACATCTTGCTAGTTTAGTTGAGAGTGATAATATTGACCACCAACTGGGGACTTCAAGCTACAACTTTATGTTACTTTGTAGGTGTTTAAGAAATGCTGGTGCTGTTGTTCTCCACATTTTCAATGTTTGTAAAAGCCACCTTTGATGGTTACTATAGTAGGAAGAATATGAGATATGAATTACAGAGGGCGTGATTGCTGGTTAAAACTGACAGGATATAGGTGGGCGGGAAGTTATTTGCGTCAGCAATGTTTATTAGGTACATTACCTTGTAACAATCATTTCGATCAGCCTAAGCTACCTCTTCACTGTTCCAATGATTATTTCTTCTCGTGTCTCCTTATATGTTATTGTGAAGCATTGTGGTCAATTGAACCCATTTTATCTGTGTAAATAAATCATTCTATATTGAACTTAAAGGGCGTTGAAACACAGAATAAAGTGCCTTTAGAAGCTTTCTGAATCATATGATTTATGCAAATAAATTGTTGTTTCTGTCAGATTTATTCTCAATGAATGATTGATCGGATGTGATACCTGAGATTACTTCAAGTATCTTTCCTGTATTTGCATATAGATTTATGTATACGTCAAGAATAGAAGATCCTGCTTCGTGTAGTTCCTCTTAGAGCCCGTTTGGTCAAGCTGCCAAAATCTGCTTATTTTGAAAAGTATTTTTTTTCAGAAATACTTTTTAAAAAGTATTTTTGAAAAAAAATTGTTTGTGTTTGGCCAATTCATTTAAGAAGTACTTTTTGCAACATTTGGTAAATAATTTGTGTTTGGCCAATCATTTCAAAAAGTGCTTTTGAGTGTCAAATTACCAAAAAAGATAGTACCAAGGTCGTATAATTCTTTTAAATATAAAATAAACTTAAATATTTATTGTAAGAGACTTTTATTATTTTTTATTTTATTTAATTAAAATATAAAATATAAAGTAAACAAATATATTAAAGATTTAAATTAATTTTACATATATAGTTATACTAAAGTATATGATATTATATAGTATAATTATTTATTTTTATATGATAATTTGAATAATTAAAATAACATCATTCAGTAAATTAGAAGTCTATCCACAAATTACTATATATTGATAATCCATCATGAAATAATAAGTACAGTCACTCACACATGATAATATTTCTCAACAATTTCATCTCTACTTCTATCACACAACGCTTCCATATTAGTAGAAGACTTGTCTCGCATTTCTAAAGGAATATAAGAAGGCTTATCTCCTTCGTCAATCTCTGCAGTAATGTCTTCATTAGCATAATAGTTGAATTCTTTATCGGTAAAAGAATGTTGTCGGATGAAATTATGTATAGCCATGGTAGTTGTAACTAGATGATTTTGAGTGTCAAACTTGAAAAATGGCATCGAGCATAAAATAAAAATAATTTTAAATATATAAAAAATCGTAAAAGAAATAGTTAAGTATGTTTACATTCTAATTCAAAAAGAGTAACTAATTATCAACAACACATAATGTATAATTTATTTATTTTTTAAAATTTAAATTCAAAAAGAAACTAATTATTACCTATCCTTACTACCTTTGTCCTAAAATGCCAAGTGACCTATTGTGAGGCTGCCACTTGACTAAATATGGATGCATTTTCTTCTTCTTTTAATAATATATAGATAGATTATGCAATGCAATTGTAAATTTATTACCTATTTGTAGGTCATTTTCACAAATCAGATTTGATAGCTATTTTAAAGATTCGGGAACTAATAGCATATAATAGAAGAAATTATAAATAATTATTTGTAGGAAGAGAATTGATAATCCAAAGAAGATGCAGATAATTTGCTTTAGTGTGACAAAAGAAGAAGATAATTTGGAAAGTTACGAGACATTACACAAAGAAAAGATCAAAAACTAGAAAAGTCAATAAACTTTTTGAAAAGTTACAATATGATTCATATATATGATTTAATTTTAATAGGATGGTAAAAACTAGAAACAAAAATAAAAAGAAAAAACTTAAATTAGTAAGGGATAATTTGGAAAATATAAATTTATGGTGAAGATAGTTGTGTCTTGAATAAATTAATTTTCTGCTTCTGCTTCTTGGAAGAAACTAGAATTTTATGCTTCTTCCCAAAAGCAAAAGAACTGCTTCTGCTGCTGGTAAAAAGTATTTTTCTGCATTGGCCAAACAACTCAATTTTTTTAAAAAATACTTTTTTGGGGAAAAAAGTACTTTTGGCCGCCAAGAAGCTTGGCCAAACCGTAAGAAGTGGCTATGCTCCTAAGTTGGAACTGCTAATTAATGTTTATCTTAGGACTGTTTTTTGACTCATCGTTCTTTTTCTGAACTGTAATGGCTGAGACTCTATTTTTAATTGTGACCCGTCCAAACTTTAGTGTGAGGATATAGCTCCAGTCTTTGCCTAGAGGCTGTACTGAGAAGATCTTCCTTTTTCTATTTGTAAGGAATCTCATTCTTTGATAAAGTACTTGGCAGGGAATCTCATTCGTCTTGATTAATGAAAAATAGTTCAGTGGAGCCATAATGCGAGAAGTTGTCATCTGAGTTTGAAATGCCAGGAATGACAAAATTCAAACAACTCAAAGATTGTTTAAGTACACCATAATTCTCGTGGTTGAGATATTTATCTGTTAAAACCAGGAACAAATATATCTGTAGAATCGGGGTTGTGATCATCCTATCAATTTTTCAATTCTCGGTGCGTACTCGATTTTAATGAGTAGCAAATTCTCTTGGTCTAAAGCCAAACAGTTTACATTGAGATTCTGACTGAAACAAATAACCATATTATGCCAGCTTTCACAAAAGTAATGCAGGTAACAAGCATCTGCACCACCTTCATCACATTGAGATGTGTAAATACAGATAATTTTCTCAGAGATCTGGCATGCATTTTCCTGTTTTTGGATCATATGTTCTCTCCATGACCACCTCCATTGGAGTATCCTTGGGACCAGCTGCACAAAGAAAAGGAGAACATCCAGAAGAAAGAGGATCAGACGTTAGCCGAATACACACAAAAATTGACCCTGGAAGAGTAATCAAACATCTTAAATTTGGTAGAACCAACTGTATGAAAATTTTCCTTGAAGTCAAAAGAAGGAACGCGGTAAGCAACAATGTCAAACAAGCACCATCAACTCCCAGCAAAAAGAATACTTAAGTCGCACACCTCAGGAACCATCCATCATCACTCAGCACACAATCCCCAAGCCGTTCCCAGCTTCAACCTTCCATATTCCCAAACAGTACTCCCACAGGAAAGTAACAGAAGAATAAACCATATCATTGATCTCCCCAGATCCACGCTTCATCTAAATTTGACTTACAATCTAATTTTAGATTACACTTCTTAAAACTGCACCATAATGTGTCACACATATTTCAACAATTTGTCTTAAATGAAACCTATCCTACAGTAAGGTTGCATCATAAAGTTGTGTCTACAATTGATTCTTAGCTCTTTAAGGTTTTAAGCTTTAATTTCTTCTTCCAGTTGAAATCAGATTATGCCTCTAAGGCTACAAACAGAAATACCTTTTTAAGAAACCTCCCCCACCCCCAACTCTTCAAAAAAAAAAAAAGAGAAGAAACATACGGCATATACTACATTTAAGATGCAACAGAATACTCATCTAGAAGCATATTCGGGCGAAGGTGAAAGAATTTGATAATTACCAATTGTAGGCCTTGGTGTGGTCCTTATTTTTAAGATCTCGGGCCAGGGAATAATAGAACCTGACGCTCCTATACCTCTTGAGACTCTTACTTTGGAGCCATCCTCTAGGTATCTAATTCCGACCTTTGTTGGTTTCCTGTGGAAGAAGACATGAGCTACCACCATGTTCTAAGAGCAAAAGACAAATGGTAAGAGAAAAATAAATACATCCATACCCTGTGACTGGATCTACAACCTGAACATTGGATACATGCAGCGGGGCTTCAACTGTAAATATTCCACCTTCATGGCCTTGCCCTTGTTTAATATGTTTCTTGACCTGCAAAAGGGCATATAATACAGTAAGGGGTAGCCTTGTTTTACATACTGATTATGTTTTTGATAAAATAACATAATTTTATTTATAAACAGTACCAAGTGGGTACCGAAATATGTAACAAAGTAAGTGATTTTTCCTCTGCCAAAGCTTTAGAAAGTCTAACTACGGCCAAAATATTTTGGTCATGTTAGATAAAGAATCCCTCTTACACCAACAGTCTAAATATATTGTTTACATAAAAAGAATAGCTTGAAGCGCTTCTTAGTCAATTAACAGCTCCCTTCCTTAATACAGCTATCACTAAGGGGTCGTTTGGTAGGATGCATTAGATAAGCTAATGCATGCATTAGCTTTGCGTATTAATAATACATTGTTTGGTTTACATTTTGAACATATGCATTAGTTATGCAAGCATTAGTTATACATCCTATTTGGTATTATCCTATGCATAACTAATGCATAGAAAACAATGGTATTAGCAATGCAATGGGTTTTAATGCATGCATTAGCTTAGTTAAAGACAAAATTGTCTTTCAAAATTTATGCTTGATTAAAATATGCTAGTTAGTATATTAATGCAAGTTCAAAATAATCCAAATAGTGAGAAATAAAATTATATCCCTAGTAAATAAATAAATACTTAACATATTTCTTTTTTTATAAATAAATATTTAATTTTATTTTACAATATAGGTAGACAAATAAAATAATTTTTTTTAAACTTTTTCATATAAAAGCATTTCTCAACATATGTTTCTTTTAAAAAGTTAGAGTGTGGACTAGTTTTGAGGGCATTTTTATAAACAAATAATTCTTTTAGAAACTGTGCAATGCTTTAATACATCAAACCAAACAATGGATAAGAAATATGTCAGCATAACTAATACCAGCATAACTAATGCAAGCATAACTAATACCAGCATTACTAATACACCCTATTCAACATTATTCTTATGCACCCTACCAAACGACCCCTAAGTGTGATAGTGAACGAGCTACTTGTCTAAAACACCACCAACTGATTCTTGCTTGCTGTTCACTAATAATCCAATCCGTGTAGAGGTTGTCTTGAAGTTCTTACTAGTGAGCAGACTCCTACAACTAGCTATATCTCAACAAAACCACCTTGAGCAACTCAGTTTCTTGTTCAATCTAACAATCTTGATGTCGATTCCTCCCACATAGTTTGACAAAGGTGTCATCAGTCTATCTCATATTCTTTATATTACGGTCACCAATGAGGATTTACTACATTGAAATTATTTTTATGTTCTCAGATTACAGTCGTATACCGTTGGAAAATTAGAACCTAAACATTCTTCAGTCTACACCCATTCTCCAACACCACCACTAAAACTTAATGCAAAAGAAATCACAACAAAGGCTGATACTATCACCACTTGAACCCAGACAGAAATAATCCAAATTCAGAGGTAACGTGAAATCGTGGCATGAAAGTTGATAGGATCATATAGGACTGTTAACTCCTCAAGATCCTTCTCTATCCAGTATGAGCTTTTCAATTTAAAGCTTTTCTTGCTAGGAATTGCTACATCTACTAACCTAACACTAGTATATGCTGTTAACTGACTAACCAACACTTTATGATATAAAATTATTCCTTTTTTCTTTACCTATTACTTTACTTATTATTATATTCACAAACCGTCTATTGTTTAGTGGCTCAAGGTTTCTATATGTAGAACTATTATTATTATGCAAAAAATTCAGACAGCTCAGCTGCATTAGACATTGTTTTAGAAGGAAACAGCTCATTTGCATTAGACTTTATAGCATCAAAACATCTCTTTTCTTTTCAATATTTTCATTAAGGCTATAAATCTAGTAATCTTCATATATAGTGAGTTGTACCTTCAAATTGCAACATGCCTTTTGCTTTAAAAGTAGGGATATTTTATTTTTTTAAGTTGCAAACAACATCATACTGTGAGCACGTGATTTTTGCCTCAGCTGAACTGCTCCAAAATAATTCCCAAAATTAGGTCTTGTCTTTAATTATGTGTTATCTTTTAGGAATTATTGTGCGATTTTCCTGATTGTTTGCATATAGTTGTGTGCATGTTTAATTTTATTAATGCATTAAAAATACAAAAAATATAGCATTTGCATTTAAGATTTGATTTTTTTACATTTTTGGAATTAATTAATAATTAAGTGTTTTACAAAAATGAAAATTCGCAAAAAATAACATATTTTTTGTATTTTGGTCAAATTGTGTGATTTTCTTTTAATTTAGTGTTTAATTATTTGTGATAGGTATTATTTAAAGTTAATTAATATTTTTAAGCTAATTTAGGTCTTTTATAATTTTTAAGTTTTAATTTTTGAAAAAAAAAGGAAGAAAAGAAAGGAAAAAGAATTAATGAAAGAGAAGGAAGTCAAATTTGGGCCAAATTCAATTTAATTCAAGAGGCCCAAATCAAATACACCTGAACCCCCCCCCACTCTAGCCCAAACCCGTCCCAACCCAGTCCAGCCCTGTTGCCACCTAAACGATGTCGTTTGGATATGTTTTGATCAGGACTGTCGATCTCCTATGATCGAACGGTCCCGAGCCTCACCCGTTACCCGACCGAACCCGTTTCCCCGTACCCGATCTCCATTAAACTCCAAACGGCACCATTTTACCCTTCCTAATTGATCTGGACCGTTGATTTCCATTAATCCAACGGCTCCAGTTAATTCCTCATTTTTATAATACCCTACCCCCCTCTGAACCCCCCAAACCCATCTCTCAAACACCCCTTTCATCTCCCAAACCCCTTCACCTCTGAAAAACCTAGAGATGCCGCCACCTTTTTCCACCGCACTAAACCCGGCGGCGCCGGCTCCGTTCATCACCAAAATCACACCCCATGACCATCAAGACCCCCTCTTCCCAAATCCTTACTTTGTTTCCCTCGAACATGGACTGAACCCTTCGAATTTCAAATCTAGGGTTCGAGCCCTAAAGGCCCAAAGCCAAACTCAGACATGCAAGACTACTCCTTCAAATTTTCTCAAAAATTCAGGGCAGTTCAGTGACAAANTGATTAGCATCAGTTTGGGGTGAGTCAGAGTATCAAAGCCAAATCCAAGTTCTAGCCTGTCCGGTGAGTTCTTTCTTAGTCTTTGTTTATTTACATTAGTGTTATTCTGATATTCGTCTTCCTCATCTCTTTTTCTTTTCCTGGTCAATTTCAATTGAAATTCGATCAGTATTCTGATATAGATTATTCTGTTCACTGTTTGTTTCTTTAAGATTGGTTTTGTAGATTTGTTTCGTATAATTGGTATATCAGAAAACTTTGAAATCGTATCTCGTTTAATCACTTAGTCAGAATAATTTTAGTTCACTAGTTTGGTATAATTTCTTGTTTAACATTGTATTAATAAGAATTGACTATTATAAGTTTTATGCAAGTGGTCACTAATTGAGAAGCTTCTAATAGTGGTAGGGTAGTATTTACATTATTGAATTAACTAAAAGCACTAATTTGAGTGGATAATTTAAAATGGAGAAGATAAGTTGTAGTGGAAAATGCACTAATTGAATGCCCATTTAAGGGAGCTGAAAATCAGAAGAAGGATATAGAAAAAGGATACAAAAGAGAGAGAGAGAGAGAGAGGAGAGATTCTGAAATACTGAAAAAATATATACTAACTGTTCCATTAAAATTTCCGAGATTTTGAGGCTTTTCATTTGTGAAACAATTCCTGAATAATCATAGGTTGAAATGATTTGAATGTGCTGATTTTCAAGTGTTTGGTTCAAGTTCTGACTGTTTTTGATTATTAAGTATCAGTTGATCCTTCTACTGGGCTGAATTTGGCTAAAAAAAAAACTGGTTTCCTTTGGTTTATTTTTAATGCTGAGTCCTGTTGATGCTACTGCTGCACCTTACCCCCTCTTTACTCTCATTTCCAGGTATTCATCTCACCTTCTAATGTGTGAAAAGGAGATGGACATGAAGTTTGGTGTACTCAAGTTGATGTTTGTAATAATATAATCGTATGCTTGATGTTTCTGCATTTTTAAAAGTCATCTGATTCAATTTAATTTTCCTATGTCTCCTACGGTTCTGTTTTGAATAAGGAATGATGTGTTAGTAACAATTTGTAATTCATTATGCTGGTTGCTAAAAGTGTATGAAAGGTCATGATAAATGCTGGTTAAGATCCGGAAGTTATATATGTTTGCAAGGCTGAATAGCTAGTTCATTTGTTGATCAATGTGTAAGGCAGCCTTTGTATTCATTACTGTTGAGAGGAGCATGTATTCATTTCTATTATGTTTAAGTCATAATATCACTCTGCTGGTTTGGATTGACGCTTTACTGTTTCAAGTTGAGGATATGTTAGTATTTACTATCCTATTTCGTGTATGTTGTTAGCTCATATGGAGTTTTGGTCAGTTTAATAGGAAGCCTTTGAATTCTTTATCTTAAATTAAGATGTTGAAAGCTTTATCATCAATATTCTGGTGTTAATTGGTGTTAGGGTATAAATATTAATTTAGCCATCTATATAATAGAGACATTAATTATGTTCATTTTGTAAGTTTCTCAAATTATTTA